GAATCAAATACACTGCAGAGCCTGTCTTGTTATAAAGGGTTAAAAGGTTCCTAGCAAGTTATCTTTCCCTGTTTGCAAAGCCAGTACTGGTTGTGATAACCCTGAAATTCTGAAACTGAAATCAGTTTTCTTATCAGAGTGACTCTCTCATATTAAAACCACAAAAGCCTTAACAGTGGGGAATTATTGCTTGTAACAGGTGTAACACTTTTATTTATATCTTCCTTTAAGGCTATGTGACAACACTTCACCAAAATCCACACCAAGGCTGGTTTGAAATCACCTTTCAAGCAGAAATAACTTTAAAAATCCAGAAAATGCATCCAAAAAAGCCAGAACAAAAAAAAAAAGAGCAAAAACAAAACCCCACCCAACTTGCTCCTCCCTGAGATAATTTCTGGGATAATTGTGTCCACAAGAAGGGCAGCAACACCTTCCTGAGAGCAGCAGCTCCTGGGGCTTTGCTGGAGCACTCTGCTGTGGATGGCTGCTCTGTCCTGGCAGCCAGGCTCTCTCTCATTCACTCAGAGCAGTAAGCTTGGTACTGAATCTTGCCATCACTTTTAGACATAATCCTAACAGGCCCAGTCAGCTGGAAGATGGGGACATGTCAAATGTCTGAAGTAGAGACTGTGGAAGTTCAAGGCCTCTGAGGTCTCTTGATTTCTACACTTGCAGCACCTTCACATTTTCCTAGAAGGGTGCTCAGTGTGACTGGGTGAACACTGAGAAGTAAAGCCTTACACATTTTAAGCAAAAGCTCTTGCTCACCTAATCCTAGAAAGGTTTGGGTTGCAAGGGACCTTAAAGGTGATGTCATTCCAACTCCCCTGCCAAGGGCAGGGACACCTACAATGCCAGGTTGCTCAGAGCTCCAGCCAGCCTGGTCTTGAACACTGTCAGGGATTCATAACTTCAGGCAGCCTGTCCCAGGACCTCACCACCCTTATATACAGAACTTCTTCCTAAAATCTAATATAAACCTAGCCTCCTTTAGCTTACAGCCATCCCCCTTTATCCTGTTTGCCCTTGTGGAAGGTCTCTCTCTAGCCCCTTTGGGTACTGGAATGTTCTATAAGGTTTTCCCAGAGCTTTCTCTTCTCCAAGCTGTTTTCATAGCAGAGGTGTTCCAGCCCTCTGATCCAATTGGTGGCCTCATTCCTGTGGGTTCACATCTTCCTTCTGCTGGAGGAACCCAGAGCTGGATGCAGCAGTGCAGGTGGGGTCTCAAAAGAGTGGAGTAGAGGGGCAGAATCACTTCCCTCAACCAAGGACCTTCTGATTTGAGCTCAGCCCAGGACACCAATGAACATACTCCTAATATTCATCCATCAGTGCCACAGCAATGACTCCTTCCAGAAGCAGCTGCCTGCTAGCCTACCACACATTCTCCTACCACCATGATATCACCATCTTTTCTCTATCAGAAATAGGGGTTAGGATATATCTTGTTACAGAACGTTTCGAAAGCAGGAAGATTTTTAAAATTAAATTTACTTTGGTTCACTTGTGGTCTGTTTGCTTTCTAGACTGCATTCTGAGCAACGCAGTCCTCTTTGCATGGTGTTTTGCTTTCCATGGGTACTATGCATCTCCCTTCAAATTAGCTTTTGATATTAGATGCTACTCTAATCCTGAAAGGCAAGGAATGTACATCCAAACACCTGTTTCCATTGCAAACAAAAAGAAGCAACAAAATCCTGTGGTCCTCCCTCATGGTTTTAATTGTATTACTTCACATAATAGGAGCACTATTGCAATTCTGTCATTATGTTCACGCATACAGGTGCAAGATTGCCAGGAAAAGCTAAACACACCTTCCAGCAGGGTGTCATTGTCGTTTATACAGAAGCACTTTGCTTCTCCAGCACACAGAGGACTGAAATCAGCCTGAGTTACAACAAGCTGGGTTAAGCACAGAGCAGCACAACCTCCCGAGGTTCCCTTCCCCACGCCGCTGCCGCATCAAACCCTTCTCTGGGGCAGCCTCCCCCAGCTCCCTGTCAAACGAGTTCAGAGAGGGAATGGCTGCTGCAGAGTTTCAGTGCTCAGCAAAGGCCTGCTCACACAAGCTGCACATCTGATCAAGGCAGCACCACCTCCCTGGCAGACCTCACCGCTCCCACCATCGCTCTCCTCGTGTCCTGGCCCAGATTTGGGGGGGGTTTGCTCTCAAACACTTGTTCACAAAAAAATACCTCGCAGATCCAGGCTGGGGCACCGTTAGAAAACAAGTGAAATCAATGGGGATGATAACAAATAGGTGTGATAACCACTTAACCTGTCCCTGCCACAGCAGCTCAGCTGTGTCCTGGCGGTGCCCAGCCTGTCTGTGCAGCTCAGGAGCTCCTGAGCCAGCCTGCATTAGGTTACAGAGCAGCTCTTTTGGTTACAGCCCTGCTCCCTGCTTGTCTGTCTGAGGCTCCTGCACTCCTGCTTGACAAACAGCAAAGGGAAATAGAGCAATTGTGTAACACCTTTCTTTTTTTAACCTGAGACAGAAAATGCTTTTACTGGGGACACTGTGGCTGGTGAAAAACAGCCCTTTCTGGTTTTTTTGGGCTTGTGGAAGATACAGTTTCCAGCAGGACACATCTACTGCCCTACATTTTCTCACTTGTTGCTGCCTTTTCTGTGTCTTCCTTCAGGGAAGCAGGACAGAACTCTTTTAATGGGTGAAATATCACCTCTATAAAACTCAAAAGTTAGGAATTGCTCATTGATCCAAACATCCTCTCTGTTAGAACTTGCCTAAAGTGTGGTCCTGTATATTTACATTTGCCACTTGGCCCAGTATCTCATGGTCCTCCAGAAGTGACCACTTTTCTGTTCTTTCCTGCCTTAAAACAGGCAGAATAAGTCTCTTCTCCTTTGCAGAGTTTCTCCTGGATCAGCATTCCTGTTTACCTCCCCCTACTAATATTCTAATCTTTGCAGTCACCCTCCAGAAAAGTTTTCACCTGTTCATGATTCTCATATTCTCCTATTTTTCAGCTTTCAGCTTGTCTTTCCTTTGGATGTTCTCTTTTTATTTGAACTTCTGAGGTGTATAATTTAATACTCTGGTCACATGCTTTACTATAAAACCTTTTAAACTTTTAATTAAATTAATGGCACCTTTCCAAAACATCAAGAATTGCAATTTTTCAACCTAAATGGAAAGTCTCCAGGAAGATACCAATTAATTCTTCTGTTCCAGCTCTGAGTTTTATGTGAGTCTGTATGCAATTCTGTAATATGCATTATGCAGGAAGTCACATTACTAAAAATGTTCTTTCTGGAGTTATAAATCTTCAGGTGGTGGCATGGCTTGGTTTAATGAAGTGCTCATTTTTCCCCAGTATCTTATGGATCCAGAGCTTCACACAATGAATCTGGGCAATGACCTTCACTTTAACAGCTGATGCAGTCAAAGAACCACATATCACAAACATCCATGTCAGCCTCAGTGAAATAGTGTGAGCACTAAAACAAATCAGTAGCTGCACATTTCCATTCCAGCACACATTTGACTGATGACAGAGTACCAAACAACATCACAAACCTATTTTTTAGCCAATAAACATCTCCATTAAACACAATTTGGTAGAAACAACTTGTAAGAGGTGAGGTGTCTGGTTGTATGGAGTCATGCTGGTCCATTTTATTACATTAAGCTCTATGTAAAAAGTATCTATGGGGCTCTTATGAACCTGAAATTCTCGTCAAATCTGTTTGCTACGGAAAGAGACCTCACTGCTGGCTCAGTCACAGCACCTGCACCTGAACTGACTGGTTTTGGAAGATGTGTGAAGAGACTGTGTATACACATCATGGATGTGGCTGACATTTCAACTTACAGCCCAAAATATCCATCAGGGAGTACAAAGCAATTACATACTCTCATCTTGACAGAAGGGAGGGGTTGGAATTTGCTTTCCTAATCATTCAGGGCTCTGTTTGCTAAGGGTCTGAGGTAACTCCCACATATTTATAATAATTAAATGGATTTACAGGAATGGATTAGGCTCAGAGAGACCAAACACCTGCAAGTGTTCCAGGCCAGACTGGACAAGATTTTAAGCAACCTGTTCTAGTGGAAGATGCCCCTACCCGTGGCAGGGGGATTGGAACAAGATGATCTTTGAGGTCCCTGCCAAACCAAGCCATTCCATGATTTTACATAGGCGTAGGGGATCTCAGCCTCAATTTGTGTAGAGGCCTTAAAACACTCTGAACATCAAAAAATCTGAGCTCTTCACTGAGACAAGGTTTGCATGAAGTTTGCTGTCAATAAGGTTGTATGTGTCACGGGTTTCAACCATGCCACTGATTTTAATGGTAAGGTTTTCACAGCCCAAGACCAACAATCATACATAACTTGAAACATTCTGAAACCCTACCACATAAAAGGTGTGGTAATTTTTCTATATTTTCATTAAATTGCTTTCTGTTCTCAGTTACTCTTCTATAAAATCAGAACGAGCTTCAGTCTGAGGAAACTGACAGTAAAAACTGATGAAGTTTTTATTGGTTGAGAAAAAAAAAGGGAAGTGTTACAGTAAATAATCAGAAGACTGACAGCTTATCTCAATCCTCATTGTTTTATGGTACATCAGCATTTCAGACCTGACAGCCTCTGCTGAGGTACCAAATCCTGGTACCCCCCAGCTTTTCCCAAAAATGGAAAAGAAAGTCAGGATTCATAGAGCAAAACCTGAAGCCTACAGCCTCAAGTCTAAAGTTAGGACACAGTACATTGCAGGCAGCAGGCTAAGAATAACAGAACAAACTCAGGAGGAGAGAATTAACAATAAAGCACAGGAACTCTGACTCTCCCTCCACAACATTGCCTAATTCTAATGTCACGAAGAAGAAAGCAGAGTGAGTGTGTGTGCAGGAGATAACAGGCTGCCACAGCACCGCTTCCGCTCAGCGCCAGAAAATTAAAGTTTGATTATTCAGTAGAAGCTGAGCCGATCTGAGAGTCACACCAGTGTCCAGTTCACAGTGCAACTTACCTTCACAAAGAGCTCAATTTCAGGGTCCTTTCCTTCCCCATTAGCAGCAATAGAGTCTGTCATTTTTCACCCCCAAGGCTACCAGCTGATCTCTTGATATTAAGTGGCAAAAGGAGGTTTCAACTGCACGGCCGTGCGAGTTTCCCTTCTGAACCGCTCCCACAAAGCTGTTAAAACATCACTTGTAGTGATAAAGCTCGAAAGCACTGGAGTAAACAAGTTTGCAGGCAGCTAAATTAACAATAATTAAGAAAAGGCAGGCAGCAGAGGAGCAGTCCCTGTTACGGTAGTTCTTCTGAGCAACAAGTGCTGCTGTGCTCTGGTACAGTATCCTCATCTGTCAGAGCTGCAGCCCTCGCTGCCTCCCAAAATAGCCCCGAGCATAAAAAAACAGAGGGTGGGGTTAAGCTCACAGGGGAGGAGACAAGCTCCTGGTACCTACGACAGGATCAGTCTCTGAACAAATAATTCTGCTCTTCCCTGTTTTCTGCGTTTCTGTTGTTCCCTCCCTCATTCTACAGCGGGGAGCACCAGGGACAGGGAAGAAGGAAGTCCTGCAGCCGGGCTGGTTTCGTTGCTTTGAGCAACCGTGATGTGTTTTGCTGCTTTTCTGAAGGGTGTTTGTCCTGCCTGTAGCTGTTCAAAGTCCTAACATTGTATTGCTAAGAAAGGTAAGAGAAAAAGAGCCTGTGCGGTGGCTGTTGCATCAGTCAAGGAATGGGAAGAAAAGCAGAGCTTTGCCCCAGCAGCCCCTGCCATGTGTGGGGTACAAAGGGGTACAGGAGCCAAAACTGAGTACTCAGGTAAGAGAAGCACCTGTGATGTGACCACTGCTGATGGAGCTCAGGAGCAGAGGAATGGCAATGTTTGGGTCCCATAACTATTTCTCAGCATGTCCCCCGGGGTGCTGGTTGTAGAGGGGGGACAGGAGGGCAATGATTTGCTGGGTGGAGCATGGGAGGACAGTTCCAAGGGCCTCAGCCTGCTGCTGACATGCTGCTGTCATCCCTACTCCCTTTCCTTCACCCTGCATTCCTGGCGTGACTCACAGGGCACTGCACAGCAGCCCTGAGCATGAGGTGGCACCTATAGAAAGTCCTGACACAGCCAAAAGGCACGAAGGGAGGGAATGCTGGCACAGGAGGGGACAGCAGGCAGAGGTGAAGGGGTCACTGGCACCTCTTCCTCATCCCCATCCCTGCCTGGAGGGACTTTGTGTCTTCCTGCCCTCGGGAAGTCTCTTGCTACACTTCTGCCCCGATCCTGCTTCAGGACTGCCAAAGCTCTGGCTCACAGGGTGTTGGCAGCTCGAGCTGCCAGACATGAGCAGTTTTATCTTCCCCTTCTGACCCAGACAGGCCTTTTGGGGAGGGTTTGGACATGATCAAACACTCGCCTTCCCTGAAGGTGCTCTTAGCTGTGTGCTTCTGTGGTGACCTCCAGTTCTGTCTGTAGGCATTTGACACAGCTCCAGAGCAGTCACAGCCAACACCTCCATGGCCCTTTGGGTAAGTTCTATGGGAATTTTCCCACAACAGCTGCTTCATGTGCACTACATGAAGGACTGAAATGGTTAACAAGTAAATCTCATTATGCTGTTGCAACTGTAATTACAACATAATCATCATTATAATTACTGTAAAAGTATGCTTATGGTTTTTAGATCTAATTAGCACTCATTCAAATAACTGGAAGGTTAACTATAAGAAAATTAAGTGTTATTACTCCTTTGATTTCAAATTTTTACATGTAATTTTTGGACTAGGCACATTAATTACCAAACATTTAGAGTACAATTATTCTTAAGCCTACTGGCAACTTTCCAAGGACATGGGCTAAGTGTACTTACATGTGGCAGAAAGAATCATTGCATTGTAATTATGCATTACAGTTATAAAAGTCTGCCAAAAACTTGAGAATAATCACTATATCTCTAAAATGCATCCCTAAATAATGCATTATTAACTATACAATTATAAGCTTTTGGGATTTGCAGAAAAACTGTTTTGCTCTAGCACCTCGTGGCAACGCAATTTCCCTTTAATAAGGGTTCTTGGGAACAATAGGAAATGGCTCATCTTGACTGAGGTTACCTTTAGCTCACTGAAAACAATGTTTTTCAGCCTCACTGAAAAAATTGTTTTGATCTAGGCAGGTGGTTTGAACAAGTTATATCCCAGGACCATTGGCTCTGGAAGAGAAGATACTGCCAGCTATGAGCACAGTAATGAGGTAATGCTGCTAATGCTAAACCAAAGGGTAGAAATAAAATCAGCTTTCCAAACATCAGCACTTACAAGTTGTGATGCATGTGACCTATTTAGATGTCTATTTTAGAATGAAAAAATATGCCCTAGAAGTGTCTAATTTTTTCCACTGAGCCCAGGGTAATGAGATAAACATGTAATGGTCAGACAAATCCTGCAGTAATTTTTAAGTAGAAGAAATCTATGGCTTTAGAGCCTGATTCCTGTGCCTGTGCCATCCCTCCCTCCAGAAGCTGTGTGTGCCTTGTGCTTCTGAAAGTCAAACTCTAGATGTAGCAATTTCAGTAGAGCCTCAACGTGTTAAAGCATTCAAATCCTTCCCTCCCAATTACTGTCTGGGTTTAGTGGTGTGTTATAATTAGTAATTAGTTTGCAGATGAAGATTGTTGTGCTGAGGCTCAGCAAAGCAGAAGGGAAACTTTGCAATACAAAGGGAGCAAAGGTGTCCTGCAGCCATTTCCATCCTAACCAGATATAAACTGCTGCAGGGATGGGCCAGATCCCACCTGGCTCGGGGTGTTCTGGGCAGTGCTGCCACTGGGAGGTGCCTTCCCCATCTGCTCCCACCTCACCCCCTGCCCCAGGAACCGATATGGGTGCTCAGAGGCTACAGAAGTTGAGGAGTAAATACCACACATCTGGTGTTCCAGCTCTGCTTTTAGGTATCCATGGAAAGAATAAGCTAGCCCACCTCAAAAAAAAAAAAAAAAAAAAAAAAAAAAAAAAATCCCTCTGCTTTACAAAACTACCTCCATGGAATCCCTAAAAGAGACCAAACATAACAGACAACATAACTTGTTCATATAATGCTGGTTTTTTTTTTTTTAAAGAGATTCTGGAAGCTGAATTATTTAGGATAAACATTGTAGAAGGCAGTGAGTAGGAGGAAATATATAGAGATATATGGATACCTATATATATATTTATATATGCACTGCTTTAGGAATCTATTCATGCATTTACTGCTTTTCTGTCATATAAAACTGACTTATCACTTACATCTGGGTGGAACCTTTCTGACTATAATGGTTTTTAGTGTCTACACAGCTCTTTTGTGTATTATGAAATCAGCTCTTTCTTCAGCCAAATTAAGGGTAAGATACTGATAAATAATTAGTACACTCTCATTTTACTGCAAAGAATGAGTCACTTAGTTTGGCCTATCATTTTCTCACAAGTCAGAAGTAGCAGAGGCTTTGAGTTACACACAAGAACATTAGACACTGAATTATGAACTCCTCATAAGCCAAGTCATTATAGTTTGAGGTTTATGAGATATAGAAATGAATATGAGCACATCATCCCATTAATAAAAGAAGAGGACAGCTTCAGAAAGGGAACAGCCATGTCCCTACGTAAGACTCTATTGTAGGTGAGCCCTGGTGCACTATCGGCTTTCACAGGCCTGATCCAAGCTTCACTTCCAGCAAAGATTTGTCCCGAGGGGGTGAAGCAGAGGCCAAGCATCCAGAATGTAACTCTATCAGTTCTCCAGCACACTGCTACGTTACCAAGAAGGATCAGAGCACAAGGCACATCCATCCCCCAGTGCTTCCATCCAGCCCCTTCCATCAGAGCAGGTACTGCAAGTTTTATACGACACAGGCAACGTTTTTCATTGTTGGGATGAAAAGATGTAAAAGCTCGGTGCAGCTGCAGTAAATGCAGTAAATGGTATTCAGGGCTATGATTTTACCAGGGAATTATTCAACTACTTAGTTGTCAAAAAACCCCCACACCTAAGCAGCAGCCAGGGTTTTAATGGGTTATGGAAACATCTCTTCCAGAGGCAGTTCTGAATTACTGGCAATTTCCAATTGGATGCTGGTAGTTTTGATATGCAACACACTTAACAAGTTAACAACTGCAAGGAATCAATCCAGGGTCTTTTTGGTTTTGTTTTTGTTTCTTTTTTTATTTACAATGTGTCATTATTGATTTCTTGTCTGAATTTCAGAAAAATCAGAAGATTTGTCTCAGATATTTGGGGCTAGACAGCAGGTCTGTTCCCATTCCCAAATGTACAAGACATGCAAGGACTTACAAAGCTCTTTTCATCAGTCTCATGCCAGCACTCAGTGACCAGATACTTTCCCTTGAATCTAAAGATGTGCAGTACCTCAAAATGTGTTGGTTTGATGGAAGAACTTTGATTTTGTTCCTTTTTGTAAATTTTCCCACACTCAAGGTAATGGAAGAAAAGACATCAAGAGATACAAAAACAGCTGTGCAGCCTGAATGTTCCAATAAATGTCATGGGATGGAAAAGCCTAGAGCAGAAAACTTTGCACTCCATTAACTGGCCAGTTTGAGGTAACCCACTCTATACCCACCCCCAGATATTATGAATCCACCACAGCCATGAGCTACAGCAGATCTCCTTTATCTTTTTATTAAAAAGCATTTTAGCTCTAAAATGATCTGGCTGAAACTCTTCTGTTTAGCAGAATGAAACAATTCAGACTGGAGTTTTGCAATGTTCTAGTCCAAAACCATGGAATTATTTTTATACATAATTATGTTTTCAAGTGGATCAAACTTTGTTGTAACATTAATAAGCATTAACACCTTCAAGAGAAAACCTGAAGAGAAAAACTGAACCTGCTGTTCAGTGTGAAGAGGGATTGCATTATGGATTATGATCTCAGTGCTCACATAGAGACAGTCTCAGGTACCCATTTGTAAGGAAGTGGCTCTGAAAAGGTACAAAATCATCTCCTAATGCTGCATTCAGAGGCTTCTAGAGGGCAGTGGTTTATTTCACTATCATTCCAAAACTGACATTTCAATTAAAAACAAAAGATACTTCCAACCAGGACTGAGACTGCTCTGGAAAGTGGTATTGTAGGAGATACAATGGAGAGCATGACAGATTGTCCCAAACTGTGGGCCCTATGGATAATGCAGCTGATAAAAGGAGAAATGCAGAAATCCTCAGCCCTTGCTTTTCAAAATGAATCCTCCATGCTTTCAAGTGTGGTGGAGAAAAACAGAACCAGGTAATTGTGATGTACCCATTGTTGTTGACTCACTACTGTCATAGAAGTAAAATTACATTATTTTACTTCCAAGTCTGCAA